TTCCTGCTGCTGCTTTCTTTAACTGCTTGCTTGTGTTCGTGACAAAAAGAGGAAGTGAGGATGGATGATGAAGTTTAGGATTACCATCTGACCATCTCATCAACATTATCGTCATCATCATCATCATCATCATCTACTGTATGTCATCATCATTCTGTTACTGCTCCTGCTCCTCCACAAGCATAATGGGTATCATGTTCAGTGCAATGTTTTCTAAGCTATAGGATCCATGTTACCTTCATTGGACCCCATTATATTTCAGAGGATCCTCAGAAAAAAGGGGAATTTCTTTGTTTTTAGTTTCTATTGACCTGTTATCATGTTCTGTGTTTATACGTTTGTTCCATTATTTCAATAAAAATATGTCTGTAAATTCAGCTGCTAATATGATCTCTGATAGATTACATTTAAAACATATGAATGTAGATACAAATGGCTTGTGAACAGAGGAATAGTTTAAGGTGAGCTTACTTTTTTAATACTTACCAGGAGTTTCCAACTAAACAATGTGGAAGTCACACCTCTTATAGCATTTACGTCCTCTTGGACCTTACTTTGTCTCTTGTCTCAGTTTTTTTAATCAATCCAATGCAGTCTAACTACACAATGGTGCTTTTTTCTCTTTAATTGCAGTTTTGCATTGCATTTTGATAAGAATTCTTTGGAAAACAACATCCCAACAATCCTTAAATTAAAAGGACAGTTCAGAAAAGACATATCACAACAAAAAAAAAAACCCTGCAGAAGCATCTTTGAATAAAATCGTATCTTTCAATGTACATCAACATGGACTTATTTGACATGAAAAAGTTTGGGATCCCCAGATCCAGACCATAATCCAAATGGTGATGCAGTCTCTGGCTGCGGCCTGTAATCTACTTACTTCGCACTTCTGAGTGGAACAGTCCTCATCCCTCTGGTGTGAAATCCCTCAACTGAGAAGTGGCTTCCAAGGAAGCAGGGATGAATAATCTGCATCATCCCCATCGTCCAGAGTGCTTCTTCATTCATAATTTAGCAACCAACCCCCCCATTACATCTGATGGAAGCCACTGACCTGAAAACGTAGAGGGAATGAGCTCCTTCAAGTGCGCCTCTAACAATGTCTGCGTCCGGCCACGGCATGTTGCCAGCAAACATCAATAAATGAGTCCAGTGAAAACACTGGGATCTAATGTTATTTAAGTTTGTACACATAGGAAAATGACACTGACCAGGTTTCTACATGTCTCTTGTTTGAATAAACACATTTTGAGTGAATATTAAAACAAGAGAATGGTTGGATGTTTAGCAGAAAGATATAATTAATTTAATGGAATTAAATTCTGAAATGTGATAAAAGAGTTTAATTTAGCAAATTTAAACTAAAGACCACATGCAGGGCTAATTTACAAGTCTCCTTATAAGTCTCCTTGAGAACATCAAGGAGTGTTTTTTATTTTCAAGATTTATGTTCAAAATCATCTGGCTTCATATACAGTACAGGATCAATGTGTTCATGCAGGACTGGAAAGTCAAATGTGAATTAAATGGATTTCTCTGAGGGTTTTTTTCCCCATGATTTCATCCAGGCACTGGCTTTTCCCTGTGGTAAAAAGTGCAAAGAGGCACAGTATGCAGTTGCATATATTTGAATTTAGGGAAGTGCATTTGTGTGTGTATAGGATTGAGCACAAATGAATGGTATGTTTCCTCTGACCATACACATTCCTGAGCTCAAACCACTTTAGTAGGCATTCTTTTGTTCTTCTTTGCAATTGGATTTTAAGGAACATTGGTTGAGGCTAAGCCCACTATGACAAATAAACAATGCGTCATCATTTTCCCACAATGCACTGAAAACACACAAAAAACTGTTTAAAGGTTTTAGGTTATTAAATAAACCTTTAAGATGAATTATTTTGAGATGCATCTTAAATAACAGTGTCTCGTCCAACAAACGTTTGGTGCTAGGCCTTTTCCATCTTGTAAAAAACATAACCAGTTTTCACATTAAATATATAGACAATTTAATTGTGGCTAAATGCATCAGTCACCGTGTTGGCCTGAGGGAAGTTCTGTGTTCAAAGCACATCATTTGCTGTGATATCTTAAGTTACCATATCACTTAAAGCTAGTTCCACTGAGTGTATTCCTAAGCTTGTTGCAGTACAGTGCATATTAAACAGACTTTTTATTTTCTCTTGCACAGTAAGTCATATCAAGCTTTTCAGACCAAAGTCAGTCTCAGAGCACATTTTAAGATGTTCCATCAAAGGAAAATAAGAGTTAAAAAGTGTAACAATAAGAGGAAGCGTCTATCCCCTTTATACTGTACCCGTCCTGTATCAGCATGAAAATCAGGGTATATTGAGAACCTCTATCTGACTTGAACGCACCACATGAGTCATCTGGGATTATGAGTCATATTCTACTTCAATACAACGAAAGTACCAGCTTTACCACACACCTACAGACTGGGAAACTTTTCACATACTGAAGTTACTAGCTCAGCATGCCTGCCACTGTCGACTGTGCTAAAACTGGGACAATCTCTTTTTTATATAGGCTGGTGCAGCCTGAATGTTTAACAGATGTGATTGGATGTAGTTTAAAGTGATTATATAAGCGGAAATGTCCGTTATGACAAGGAAATGATGAGTGATGTGAAAACCTTTGACCAATTTAATGTTCATTTTTAATGTATGTATTTCGTTCTTTTATACTTCTTTTTTCTTTTTCTTTAGATAAAAAACATCAGAACTTGGACAGACAGACAGGCGGATGGACGGACAGATAGAAATAGCTAGATAGACAGATAGATAGATAGCTTATTGACAAACTGTGCTACATTACAGGGTTAGTATTAAAAAATGTGTTTACATATTTTGAGTTAAACTAACTGTTTATTGTTTCACACCTGCACACTTGGTTTTCGTTTCTTGTTACTTTCATTCCTTACACTGACAGTGTCATACAACCGCCTTGACTTCCTGTCACATCTTAATGCTCTTTCGATCAGTTCCTGACTTTGTTCTTCCACTCATCTCAGATAAAAGTGACTTATTGTCACTTCATCTGGTTCACACAGTCACTCTCCATGGCACCGCAGTGAAGCCTACTGAACTAAAGCTACAGTTTAAACCCCTCCTCCTTCACCGCAGCACCTCCCAATAAAACTGATTTGCTTTGGCATGTATTGTTTTGGAAAATAAATCAGTCGACTCTTTCCACTTCATGCACTCATGACATCATTTGTTTCCCCTCTTAACTCAATTATTGTCACTTAGTTCATCTATACGGCAACAATGACCTGTAGCTGCAGTACACAGGGCCCTTCCCACTCTGTGCAGCATGACAGAAAGGACAAGGAAATGGTTACGCCTAGAGCCTGTAACTTTGTCAGAGTTAAGTACAATAGAGCACATTATCCGCCTTATTTTTCTGTCACCCAATCCTCTTTTTCCCGCCTTGAAAACAAGCTTCAAGGTAATTGTGTCATTGTGTCATAAGGCACAGGGAAAAATGGTAATCCATTAAATTGCATTCCGTGTTCTCTGTTGCTTTTGTAGTAAAGAGCGACACCACAGGATTTGGGAAAGGTGAATTATGAATAATTGCCTTTGATCCAAAAAGCCTGACAAGTAATAACATTTAATGCTATAGCTGATCAATGAAAGTGATGCTCCATGTTTTTTATGTTCGATGAGGCAGTTTGTCAGAAGGTACAGGTTTGTTTATCATCATATTCACAAAGAGACATTGTGATTCACTCCAGCATATTTTCCACAAAGTTAAGTTAACTTTTACTTTCCATAGTTTGACCTTAAACCTTTGCTGTCAACAACATCTGAAACCGAAGTTCCAGCTATGCTTGGATGCAAAAAGTCCTCCTGATAAATAATTGAGCATTGAACATGAGAGGGGCCAGATGTTATTGAACACACACATACTCTAAAAAGGTCTTTGTTATGTCAATTAGTTGATTAAGTATCACCTACTGCTCTGTTATCATTGGAAACCTGATCTGTTTTTAAATGGCTTCATATTACAGGGAGAGCAGAGTAAAGGGGACATTTCCAATGCATGTCAGCATATTCTCCATCAGCTATCATTTTTGAGCTTACTTGAATTGTATTCTCATAATGGGAGTTAATCAGTGGGGATGCTGAAACACAAAGTTTGAGGTGTGTGGAGCCAAACTGACAGCAGGATACTATTAGCTAAACACTATTCTCATAGAATTTACAATATCTTGGTATTAAGTTAGGTCAATGCCATGCAAAATGTTTACATTTTGTACCGGCAGATTAAAGCCATCAGCCCTGTATAAGGACAAACAGACAAAACTGTGTAGTAAGCACTTGTTGGAAATGAAAAAAATCTTTAAAGGACCCTTGAATTCCTTAAAGAGAACTGAGGAGTCATTTTTATTGTGTTATATTATATTATATTATATTATTATATTATTTGTATTGTAAGTAGAAAAAAATCAAATTAAAGAGGTACAATACATTTGCACCAAAATACAACACTTGCATAAATGTACTAAGTTAGTGCAGTAAGACACAGAGAAGAAGCCCGTTGAACCTTATGATGAGTCCCAGTAGGAAGTCTTCACCATCCTAAATATTTAGCAAGCACCTGATTCTCAGCTGATAGTCAAGAGCCGGCCATATTAGGTCAGGAACATCATAAGACCAGCTCCTCCACCACCTGCCAGAAAGAGAGCTTGTCTTTTACTCTGTCTGATTCTCTGGTTCAGCTACAAGAAGGAAGGGATATTACAGAGAGCAAGATTATTTCTGCAACTGATGGAAGATATGTCACCTATGAATTAAAAAAAAAAAAAAACACTTTAGTTTGCTGATCATAACACATTTTTTTAATCCAAAATACGAGAACAGTCAAAACGTTTGGGGAGAATTTCTTTCTAATGGCAAAGCAGGAACAGAGTACATTTTTTGCAAAGGTGTTTTGGGATGAATAATGCTTGTTATGTTTAGAAAAAAAAATATTTAAAAAAGGCAACAACACCGATGCTTATTTAACTCTTAAGAGTTGATCACCCAAAATACACAAAATCAGAGTGTTACAGCTTTATTTTTAGCCATGCTAGCCTCAATAGATCTCTAGTCTTTTCTGGTCTTCTGACTATGCAAAGTACTTTTTATACTGCATGTCATATTCACCCATTCACAGACATTCTCACTGCTATGTAAAGTAGTCCATATTAACCATTAATACACATTCAGAAGCTGCTGACCAGTTCAGTTCCAAGGACACTTCAACAGAAAACTGGAAAAAAGGTCTTACACAATGCAAAAATATTTTTTGTTGAATGAACTCAAAACCTGATCTGAAATTGTTTTATTTTTGCCACATTGGTTGGTTTTATGCATATTAAGCCTTTTTGTTAACAGTTCAGTTTGTATTCATGCAAGAACCAAAAAGTAATCTCCAGGATAAACGACCAAGTTAAAATATGATTTTATAAGTTTTGCAAATCTATGGTTACTTGTCATGGTAATTGCCTTACTACAATCATATTTAGAATATTACTTAATAACACTTGGATGACTTTTGTTTAGAAAATTTGCTTTCAACAATGAAAAATCCACAAGCACATTTTTTTTTCCATTAATACCACATTGGATTTCAAATCCATGCCCTGTTGGCCCACAACCCGCAGTGAGAGACATGGGGGGTAGGTGCACCTGGTGCATGACAAACCAGGTGGCAGGCGTAGGCGGATGTCTAGGCATGCTAATCCCCAGCAGCGCAGACTAGTTCTGGGGACGGGGAACTTCATCTTTCTTGCGGGGAAGGAGACAGAGCTGGCGCTGGAGGTGGCGCGCTACCAGCTAGAGATAGTTGGGCTCACCTCAATGCATGGCACCGGTTCTGGAACCAAACTCCTGTAGAGGGGCTGGACTCTCTCCTTTTCTGGAGTTGCCCTGAGTGAGAGGCGCCGGGCGGGTGTGATGATACTCATAAGCCCCCAGCCAGGGATTCCACTTGGGAATTCTGTAGTTCTACTGGGCGACTTCAACAATGGAGACACCTGGAAGGGAGTGATTGGGAGGAATGGCCTGCCCGAACTGAAACTGAGTGTTTTTTTGTTGTTGGTCTGCTGTTCTAATGATGGATTGGCCATTACAAACACCATGTTTGAACATAGAGATGTTCATAAGTGTACCTGGTACCAGAACACCCTATTCCAAAGATCAATGATCACCGTATGTTTTGGACACTCGGGTGAAGAGAGGAGCAGAGCTGTAAACTGATTACCACCTGGTGGTGAGTTGGATCAGATAGTGGGGAAAGCTGCTAACCTGGCAAACCAAAATGTGTATTGCAGGTGAACTGGGAGCGTCTGGCAGAGGTCCTTGTCTGTGGGGTCTTCAACTCCCACCTCCCAGGAGAACTTCTCTTTTATCCCGGGGGAGGTTGGGGACATAGAGTTCAAGTGGTCCATGTTCAAAGCCTCCATTGTGGAAGCGGCTGCTAGGAGTTGCGGTCAGAAGACCGTCGGTGCCTGTCGTGGCAGCAACCTAAGAACTCTCTGGTGGATACCAGTGGTGAAGTCGTAAGGCTGCAGAAGGAGGCCTTTCAGGCTTGGTTAGCGCAGGGGTCTCTGGAAGCAAATGACAGGTATCGGGTGGCTCGGAGGGCTGTGGCTTCAGTGGTTGTGGAAGCACAAATCCAGGTGTGGGAGGAGTTCGGGGAGGCTTTGGAGAAGGACTTTTGGTTGGCCTCAAGGAGGTTCTGGCAAACCGTCCGATGGCTCAGGCTGTTAACATCAGGGATCGAAAACTGCTGAACCGGACTGGGGACATTTTTGGGTGGTGGAAGGAATACTTTGAGGAACTCCTGGACTCATACAACATATCCTCTGAAGAGGAGGCAGAGTCTGAGGATCCAGGGGAAGCCTTACCACTAACCTTGGCAAAGGTCCCTGAGGCAGTTAGAAAGCTCCTAAGTGGCAAGGCGCCAGGTGTGGCTGTGAATCGCCCTGAAATGCTCAAGGCTCTGGACAATGTTGGCTGACACGTCTCTTCAATGTTGCATGGAGTCTCGGACAGTGTCTGCGGAGTGGCAGACTGGTGTGGTGGTTCCCATTTTCAAAAAGGGGGACTAGAGGGTGTGCTCCAATTAAGTATCACACTTCCCAGCCTTCCGGGGAAAGTTTACTCTAGGGTGCTGGAAAGGAGGCTATGACTGATTTTCAAACCTCAGATACAGGAGGAACAATGTGGATTACGTCCTGGCTGTGGGACAGTGGACCAGGTCTTTACCCTCGCAGGGCTTCTTGGGGAGGCACGCTCATCCAGTCTACATGTGTTTTGTGGACTTGGAAAAGGCTTATGACTGTGTCCCCTGGGGGATCATGTTGGGGGTACTGTGGGAATATGGGGTCCTGGGGCCGTTGCTACGAGCCATCCTGTCCCTGTATGACCAAAACGGGAGTTGTGTCCGCATCCTCAGCACAAAGTCTGACATGTTGGTTTGCCCCTTGTCACCGGATCTGTTTATGATTTTCATGGACAGGCTCTCAAGGAGCAACTGGAGGGAGGAGGGTTTCCAGTTTGGGGGCCTCTAAATCTAATCTCTGCTTTTTGCATCTCAAGGTATTTATCTCATTTCAACCTTCTACAATGGTTTTTCTACGAGACATGTAATAATGCAGTTTTGGCCTTTCGATTTAGATTAAATGATTTGGGGATTTCCGAAGATCATTGAGTGAGATTTGTTTTCATTCAACAGTAATTTATTTGTTAGAGCCATTGTTGAATGGTGTTGAAGTCAGATTGAAGAGCTGTTTCTGTTTGTTCTACATTAATTTTAGATGTGTATATTACTGTATCATCGGCATAGAGCTAAACACAACACTCTGAGGAGATTGAGAGGAGGTCATAGACAAAAATAGACTAAAGAAGAGGACCAAGCCGGTCAGCCGGATACTTCGTTTTGCGAAATGTGGACCATGCATTATCTCTCTGTCTATATAACTGTGTAAGGTCAGAGAATTATCATGGTAGATGCGCTCCCTTGACTTTAGTAGATTTCAGGGGAGCATGTTTATCAAAAGCTTAAATAAATTCTGGATATACAAAGTCTCATGCATCTTGTACATTTGGAATTAATTGGAACCTATCCCAATTGATTGTCATTAATGAACTGATCAACATTCATTTTCTTATATTTCCTAATTCTAATAAATTTGGGTGGTAGTTTGGGTAATTTAATTTTCCAGATACATTATACTATGAAATGGTCACTAATGAAACAGTCATACACAACACCTGCTTTTATAAATCTGTTTCAATGTGAGACCAGTATCCAGTCTAAAAAAACTGAGTTGTAGGTGTGACACGAGTGGGCTCTCCAATTAGCTGAGTTTGGTTCAAATTTCCAAAAATGTTTTTTTCTTTGGAGGATTTGTTGGTCCAATTTTTATTAAAGTCATCTAGTAAAATAATTTAATTCCTGTTTGCAATTGAATTCATAGTAGCAACCAAACATCAGAGGGTGCAGAAGGAGGTCTATATGTTTTTGAGCACAGTATTTCACTGGTGTGAAGTGGTTAACCCCTCCACACCCTTACTTCAGATACACTCTCTGGGATGCTTTTTTTATACCCAGTCATGTCACTAACCTGTTGCTAGTCAACCTAATTAACTGGAAGATGTACAACCAGTTGTTTTCTTTAGCATTTCTCACCTTTTTCTGTCTTTTGTTGCCACTGTTCCTGTTTTTTGTGTGTTGCGAGCAAAATTTTCAAAATAGGCATTTACATTTTTCTGGTTTAACCTTTGATATGTTGTCTTTGTTCTATTTCCAATTAATTATGGGGCTGTTGATGTTTGGAAAATTCTCCCATTCAGTTTTTATTTTTATTTAACACAACACACACTAGCAAGGACCACGCCACAACCACAATGTGTTTTAGATATTTAATGATAGATCAAATGATGAGACAGATGAATGTATGTTAAGAAAATGATTATGATGGAAGAGGATGTTGTCAGTTGGCTGTTTCTGGAAGAATGGACTGACTGCAGGGCAGAGGGAGACTCAGGGAGACTTCCGTCTCAAGCGTAATTCTGCCTGAGCTGATCACGGCCCAGACTGTTCCTAGAATAAGACAAACGAGATGAAGGGATGAGGAAGGAGGGTGAATGGATGAGTGAAGGGAGAGTGGGTCGAAGAACTGAAACAAACAGGGTGGAGTGGGGTAGCTCAGTATAAGTAGGCTTGTCAGGTGATAAGGTGTGGCTGTTGTCCTGCTCCCGTACCTAAGTTAATATACTTAATTTATAACTTTTTAGGGAGTGGGGTTTGTTCACTGGAAGTCAATGTGGTGCAGGCCTGAGCTATTCACACCTCATATCAGTGCTAATCTGTTCAGTTTAGACCAAATAACATTCATTCTCTGACATTGTTTCTCTGTGACAAATGGGAAAAACCATGAGGTTGTTTCATTCATACCACATGCGAATACTGTGTGTGGGCGTTTATCTAACAGATGGACATCCTGATCTAAAACATAATCAGGTTATCCAATGAGAAGGACAATCATATCATTGATGGACATGTAATTTGCATAAAAGTACACACTGCCGTGAAACCCCCTTTGCCTGCAACTATCCCTTTTGTGTACTCTATCTACAAATGCAAAGTTCCAAAACCACACGATGACAGGACGACAGGCGTTTAAAAAAAATAGAGAAAATGATTCACATGGGTTGTGAAACACAGTTTCCTTCTTTTATGCCATTTGTTTTTCATAAATACGCCTGCTCAGAGCGCCGTTAATACTTTGTGTATCAGTTTGTTCTTGTTTGCCAGACAGTGTTCAGCAGCAGCCTCTGGGGGCCTGTCTGCAGTCAAACAGGCTTTCTCCTCTCCTGCACTGTTTTCTGTCAGTTTTAAGTGAAAGAAGACAAGGGTGAGGGATGTCGGCAACAAGCAGCTGCTCAGAGGTGTGCTGTCTGTTGATGCTGGGCTCTCCTGGCAACATGTTTAAGCTGTCACCTTTCCTCTCAATCACAAAATCTTGAGTGTCAAAACACAGAGGCAGAAATTATATTTTAGTTCTTAAACCATGATTTTAACAAATTGCATTTGATGAAAATTATTATGAATGAGACAGAAGTGTCACAATTGATGTCTTACTTAACATAATGCAATGTTTTTAATATTAAAAGCATGATTCAGAATTAAACTGTTAAATAAGAGAAAAAAATTGCTGTGTTATTTTCTGTTTCCTCTGCTTACTCTTTTGTATTATAATGGCAATATTTTCACAATGTTCCCCACCATCTGTGGGAATGTGATACCTTTCTTTAGCTGAGTGAAAGAGAGGGTGGGGGGCTGGGGGAGGGGGGAGTGGTGTTCTCTAATCCCAGAATCCCTCACATCGAATCATGCAAATTTGGTGCACTTTGAAGCGATTCCAGCTCCTACCATATGCAGAGTGAAAACAACAATCTATTATGCATGCATTGCACCAAGCTTATGGTAATGTTATTTTCCTGCTATCCCTATAAAGTCAAATTTGCAGATGAACAACATATCTAAAGTTTCTTTTAAATAATATTTGTCTCATTGTGGCTGTGCATTCGTGAATAACAAGCAGAGGTAGCTGTAGAGATCTGTTTGTGTCTCTCTATGGAAGTGATACTTGAGAATATGATGGGTAATACTTTCTTCTAGCAATCGGTGTTTGAGAGGTTGTGTTCTTTGCCGTATTCACTCTGAAAATGTTCTCATGATTTGAGTTCTGCTCCTCAAAGACAACAACACAATCGGAAACTTCCTGAAATACAATACAGTTTGTTTTTCATTGTGTTTGTCACTCCCAAGCACCAAGAAGCTTAGTATTCAGGAAGTCTTTGCCATTTTTTACATCAGTAATAGACCATGTTAAAATAAACTGCTCTATAAATATACCCAAAAAAAGACAGCTAGAAGAATCTATGAAGCCAGAAATCTGCTTCCCACACAAATAAACTTTAATGACCAGGTAGGTGTTTCAAGACAACACTCTTTCAGGCTTTCTCTCTCGCACTTTATTTCACAAGCCAAAAATCTGTCAGTGCGCTTTGTCGCTCCCTGTCTATGGCTGGATTAAGAACACAACATCAATGATATTTCCATTTGTTCAATGGATAATTAGGGCCCACGACATGCCAAGAATCATTTTCTGTCTTGGCTCATCCTAATTTGGGGGAGGATTCATGCAAAGTGTAATTGGCAAGACAAGATGTGACTGGTGTCTCCAGAGCGGATCTGTGCTTTGTTACAACATGAAGTTCTTAATGAAGAGGCAGACGACTTGCTTGATTATGATATTTGTATTTCAAATTCAAATTCATATGTAAAGGCTTACCAAATCTTTGAAAGTAAACTAATTTGAAATCTAAGCCTTTACCTGTCACTGTCTGTCTGTCTGTCTATCTATCTATCTATCTATCTATCTATCTATCTAACTGCATATTCTTGTACTTTCAGGATTGAAGTTGTGTTACTATATACACACTGTTACTGTGTCCCTATCTGAAGAAGAAACTTTACTGAAAGCAACATCAGCAGGTTTGAGTGTGTCTGGGTCAGTGTGGGTGGGTGAAAGAGGCGATGGCATCCTATCAAAAAGACACAAACACAAATATGCAGACAAGCAGACTTTGCGGTGTACCTGTGACAGTACCGTTATGAGAGGTGACAATGTGTCAACTAGTTTCTTGTTGATTATGAAACCTTCTTCACGGCTGAAACATTGTTTTTGCAGTGTAGCATGTGCCTAAACCCTGCAATGCACACATAAGAGTGTATAGGTGTCAAGACTATTGATAAAGATAGTCTAAGTATTTCTACTACTTTTACCTTCACCACATTCATTCTTCCCTTTTTCTTCAAGCTATTTAAGAATGACAAATATCCTTTGTTTCAGCTCTGGCAGTAATTATTCACAGAACATTTAGCTTAGATACAGTTTATACTGTCTGACATTTTCAAACCCCAACCTAAATATGTGTTGTTGTTTTTTTTAAATACATGCTTTATTCCTCCAAATAGAAAAACTAAAGATATATTCTGCATTAAAAACAGCCTAGTTTTTGCAACTTTGGAATCTCCCTTTAATTTGATTAGAAGGCTCTGGGGATTTGAACTCTGAGGATGCCCAATTTATTTAAATGTTTACGTATTTGGCACCATGAATCATAACACATCATATAGCCTATCACATATAGAGTAGGTTTATTCTTTTATACTCTTAAATAGGCCAAACATCATCCACCAATGATCAAGCACTTGGAAACAGTTGCAACTTCAATAGGAGGGGCAGAAACCTCGAGCGAACAGACTCATTGGTCAACAGCCATCTTCCACTCCGGCATGACATAATATCCCACAGGTTAAATTTGTATACATGTTTGAAGTTTTAACACAATACAGCCCTGTGGCACAAGCATTTATAGTCCATATAAAACACTGACATATTCAGAGACATGCATTACACACAGTAATACTCACACAAGCCATTATGCACAACAAACTCCTAGTACAAGCATGCACCTTGTAAATCCACAGGATTTGGGGAATAAAACTGTTAACCCACTGTTCAGAGCGAGTGTGGCCCGGCAGGAGCAGCTGCATATCATGCAGGATGAGAGTCGGGACGTAGGGTGGCTTTATCACTCAAACTGGCCTCATGGAGCCTGGTGCTCTCTGCCAACCAGACTCCAAGTTATTCTATGCCAGTGAAGCATTGATTTTCCACACTGTTAGCTCACATGATTCCCCCTTTCCTCAGAGGAAAATTGCCAGGATGAAAAAAAGGACTCCCTGTGATCGATTGGACCACTGTGCAACTGAATTCAGGTTACAGGCAGAGGGAGATGAGGAGGGAGAGGGAGCGCAGGGAGAAGGGGGAGAGAGAATGAAGACAGTGCACAGCAGGGCGCTTGCATGTTAGTCTCACTGAGGTAAATATGGACTTGGAAAAACTGGGGCTGAGGAGGAGAAAGGCACAGTTTTAAAGCAGCAGCAGAAAAATAGTGAACAGGTACCTGTTTTAACCCATTTAACATTTACTATCATCAAAAAATAAATCTCAAAACTTTCCCAAAACCTTAAATTGCTCTGTTTATTGGGTGAATATATTTTACTGCAACCAAAGGACATGCTCCTTTGACAAGGTTGCAGAAATCTTAAGATTTCAGTGTACTCAAGTTTTTTGTTCCTAATTGAATTTCCAAACAGTCTTTCATATTGAACTGGCAGCAAATGCCTCGTGAACAAACACAGTAATGTTTCTGTTACCAAAGTGAGTACTCTTCAGATGCTGGTTCAAAAGTCCACAGTTACACTTTTCATTAAGCAAAAGAGCAGTAGATTGTTTCATGTTATGTGAAAACAGAGCATTGGCTTGCCATACAGTATTACATTATAAAAGAGAAAAAACTTGACATCATATCACTTCTGTTAGGCTGTGCCTAAATGTGAATGACAAGAGATTTATTTATTCAGAAGCTAATGTTTGAAACTTAGAAAAATGCCCCCCTGCAAATAAGCCTAGTTGCAAATACCATCTCATCAACAAAGACCAGCACTTATTGCCGCAGGCCAACTCGCAGGCAGTTACAGTGGTGCTATTTAACACCATCGAGACCCACCATTAAACCGGCGCAATTTCTCCTTTAGTGTGTTTGCTCTCTCTCCACTCACTCAAATAAACGCAAAAGGAAAGCAAGTTGCACTCAGTAGGTATTACGATGACACACTATTTGTAAGAATAGTCATATGCAAATTTCAGTGAAAGGGAAAACAATTTCCCCTTTGAATGAATTAGAACTCTATTAAAGTCTGTAAATATGACATTGACATTACTGTTATTAATATAATCAGGGATTAAATCATCCCAGGGCTGTCAGCAACTCGGCACTTCATCCAGAGGTGCTGCTTGTCAACAGGCAAGACAGGCAACTGCTTTGGGCCCCTAGGGCTGACAAACTTCAAATCACAGCAGTGGCTCAAAATGTGCAAAGTTTGCAAAGACAGTTGGAAACCTCCCCAAAGGAGCCCCATCTGACAGCAGCACTCATAGAAAAGTAAATTATTGAATGTTAAGG